CTTCATTAAATTTTTCTGCTGAACTTATGACCATAATATCGCTTAATTCTTTAAATTGAATTTTAATATTGTTGTCTTCGGTGCAGATATTTCTGTCTATTTGGAGAAAACCATCGAGATCATTTGCCAAATCGAGTCCTTTAAATTTAGCATAGATTGCGATGACACTCCATCTTCGGGATCAAAATCTATAAGACTTTCATAAATTTTTGAAAAGCCTGCAATACGGAAGCAATTTTTAATTGATTTGACAGCTCTAAGGTTGACCTTGTAGTGTTCATTTTACGCAGCAAGTGTTTTAGAAGTAAGATCCTATTAAAAATTTAAATATTTTGGATTGCCGCTTGATTAAGGGGTTGGCTTGCTGTCGTTGTGTTTGACAGCAAAAACACAATATTTATATAGTTTTGTATTTTAATTTATTTTTATAATTCAATACATTAAATTTCTTATTTAAACTGATGTTAAACCAAGGCTCAAAGTTTCTTAAAAGCTCACCTTACACGTGCTTTATACTTATCCAGCGGTCGTGAGAGCGAGAGCGTGAGAGCGAGAAGCTGTCAGATCTCTCCCGCATAATCGCTGTAGAAATCACATGTAAAGATCGCTTTAAAGTTCCCGGCCCAATGCACCCACTTAGAAATCAATGTCAATATGTGACTATATAAGTTAAGTTTAATTCCCTGTGATGAGATGAGGTATTATCCAAAAACAAAAGAACTTTTCGATTCTGAACGCTCATTTTCTTATTGAACTGCTGCAGCCATTCATTCCTTACTTCTCGAGTTATTCATGCTTTTTTATTAGATTTCCAATCCACTGGTAGTTCCGTGATATTGCTTGAGGATATCGAGCTGCTTGAGGATATCGAGCTGCTTGAGGGCGGGCGTTTTACTTATAACTAAAAGTAGCTATATATATCTTCAACCATGTTTGCACAAAACTAAATTGTGAGTTTTTCCCCCCAAAATTTACTGCCGATGCATTTTTTGGATATAAGAAGCGAGGGTTTTGTCAGGCAATGCGTGATAGAAAATCGCTTTTTCTGGGCTATTTTGATCGAAGTAATTTATAAATTATAAATTATATTTAAGCAATAATTGCTGACTAAAATGAATCATTTTATATAAGCGGTATTTTTTTGAATTTTGTCCGTTTATGAGAGATTTTTTGATCAAAATGATTTGAAATGTAGTGTCCGCGTCATGTTATTAAAGCACCCGGTTATTGGAATGATGTTTGTATTAAAAAAATAATGAAAGAACTATGTCTACGAAATTTGTTTAGCTATTGAAGCTGTCGGGTTAATAGAACAGTCGGTTATGAGGAATTTCACTGTATAAGAAATCATATATTCTCTCTGAAAAAAGTATGGCGAAAAGTAAGTAAAAATCCAGAAAATAATACCATATATTGTTATTAAAGTTGATTTTTTTTTTATAGTCATTATGACGAAATAAAGCTTATTTTTTTATAGAAACTATTGTTTTAATAAAGAGGTATTTTTGAACAGAAATAAATTGCAACAATAAATTTTTATTATTTATTAATTAATACATATTATTATTCCTAAAGATTTTTAAATATCTTTTTAAATGTATATGTTTTATTAGCTTTAATCTTATTTAAAACAATAGATTTTTATTATTTATATTTCACAGCATGTGACGTAGTTATTATCTATTTTATAATCAATACTTAAATAATATTTATTTTATATTGCATCTATTTGATTTTTATTTTTTATTAAGATCAAGATTTTTTTATTTTTACAAACAATATCTCATCTTAAGGTCATGGCTACTAAGGTCTATATATAGATAGCTAGATTATACAGGAGATCCTAAAGGATACACTGAGGCCTGTAGGCCCATTGTTATTAAGAACTATATATTAAATAATTGGAGCAGTCAATAACTACTTCAAAAGCTGGTAGTGATGCGGAAGATAAGAGCTGTAAAAGTCGAATTTGAATTTTAATAGCTGTAGAGTTGGTTCAGAAATTCTATATGCTTCTACTTAGCAAAGTAATCATATATGGCTATGATTATCACTCTACATATATTTCACCACTTTTATACTGTTCTTCGTAAAGTCATTGTGTAAACAAAGTCTACTTTTTTTGTGTTATCGGGCTTCGGTTCGGCGCAGCACTCCTAACCAAGTGACTCTGCTGCTATACGAATTCTCCAATCTCGTACATCAAATTCGCTCCCTTAACTTGACTATTCCATCGTAGAGTAGAGAAGACACGGTCTACAACTACTCCTTATTCAGCTGTTGCTTCAAACAACTTTTTCGCTGAAGCATTTATTGTTGGGCTATGAACTATCACATAAAGAAATTAACTCCATCTATTTTGTTTTCCTCTTTATAAACAAATCCGTTCGAGAGAATAAGGTAGAAACGTGTTTCAAATATTGCAAACTATGTATATCCGCTGGCTAGACCTCTTGCTAATATGACAAATTCCTCTGAAACGGACTATGATAGACTGAAACGGAATGCTAGACCTTGTATCCTGCTTTCCTAAAGATTATCCTGTTTAATTTAACTTATGCGCTACGATATCTGGTAAATACGCCCTGACTACTTATAAGCCCTGGTCCTCGAGCTGATCAAAAACCTCAAAACTGAAAGCTCCTAAAGTAAGGCATCGCTACGCATTTGCCGGATACAAACAAAGCAGATGGGAGTCACTTTTATTGTCTTCTTCACAATTGCGGCAGGTATGATTGAAAAGGAGCTTCAATTTTCTAGCATATATTATATACAATCAAACTTCAATCATTCTATATACACAGAGAATATTTTTATGAATTATAAGATAATTATTTCATACGCTGAAGACATTAGTTCCTAAAAAAAACAGGAAAATTTCTGGTATAATCTATAAATATCATAATAGACTATAACCCAACCTGAATATAGTAGTACAAAGCGTTAATAACTTGCTTGAAATACTTTTACTTATTTCAAAACTATGATCTATTGCTCTTAGTACCCATGGCTAAACCATTCCTCACCAACCAGCCTGATTTTATGATAGGCGTATCTTCTTATTCTGTATGTATTTCAGGTGACATTTTACAGAATCAGGAATTTATATGTTATGTGAAAAAAAAAATGTGAAAGATTTCTTCTTATACACCAAATAAATAAAAAATAAAATAATTCAATTAAATTTTTATTTATTTTTAAGCTGAAAAATATACTACTGATATATTTTTATGCTTTTCTATGAATTATAAATTATTGCCGGAGTAGGAATATAAAATTTTCTTTATAGAATGAACTATTTGTAGAAGTTATCAAGCAATAGTAGTTCTTTTCTTCTTTTCATTTAAAGAATAAATTTTGTATTTATTTTTAAGCTGAAAAATATGCTACAGAAATATTTTTATGGTTTTCTATAAATAAGAAATTATTACTAGAGTAGGAGTATAACATTTTTTTTTATAAAATGAACCATATTTATTAGTATAGTTTTTTTTTCAAAGAGAATAGCATCTTATAATGACTTATATTTGAACTATTATCAATTCGTTTATCGTGATACAGAAATAACGGTGTTGGAGCAAGACTAAGATTTGCTAGCTATAATCTTTATTGTAGATTATTCTAATTACATATTAAAACTATACATTTTAATTGAGATTCTTTTGTTCTATATTTGAAGTTCAAAATGTTCAAACATAACGAAAAGTCGGTGTTTAATATAGTTAGCCACTTAAGTTATTATAAACCGGATAAGGCTATTGAAAAATTAACAGGTAGTACAAAAGGTAATTTATAGTTGTTTTTTTTATGGGAATACTTAAATTAATGTGTATTCCTAATCCACAGATTCTTTGAATTATGTACAGCGTTTAGGTTTACTGTATAAATTGCGGGTACATGATGGTTGTGTGAACTCGGTGATTTGGAATGACACGGGTGAATATCTACTATCCGGAAGTGATGATCAATTTTTAGTAATATCGGATCCATATAAACAGCAGGTGAAACTAAAGTACAAAACATTACACTCTGCGAATATATTTTCGGCACGTTTCCTACCGCAAACAAATAACGAAGGCATCCTATCATGTTCCGGTGATGGAATAGTTTTACTTACGGAATTATTATCACCAACAATTAAATTAGCAGGATCGTCTACTACCAATACTGCAGTATACGAGGATATTAATGACATTAATTCGTGTTCGTTCACTTGTCATAAAGGTGGTACAGCTTATGATGTTCTTCCAATACGTACGGATCCTCGGTGTTTTTTTAGTTGTGGAGAAGATGGTACTGTACGTATGTTTGATTTACGTTTAATTTCAAGGTATGATACAGACAATTATTTTCATTTAATTTTTAAACTTCATTATATTTTAAGTAGAGGTTTATTAAGTTTAACAAGTTGTCGGTAATGTAGTGAAGAACCAATATATAAAGATGGAGATTTATTAATGTCTATCTGCGGCTTAGCAGACTAGCATTCCATATATATGTTATGCTTTAATATGTTGTTGTTTTGATACAGTAGGAAGTGATGAGCGGCGCTTGTTCATCGTAACTGACGAGTGCCTTCGGGATCTAGATTCGGTTGCTACTGGAACTAGTACAATATGTTAATACAATTCGGTGTTCATTGAAATAGAATATTTGAACTATAAAAAACCAAACAATGATATATATACGTTGAACTATAACTGAGATGAAAAAAGTTTTTAATCAATTTATGTCTATTGCTATTACTAATTTTATTTAATACGAATGTTGTTGTTATGATAACCTGTGGTCTATATGACAGTTAAAATAAAAATAATTACAAATACATTGGTTGTGATATGGTTGGGTAAAGCAAGTATGAATGACAAAGGGATTGTTTCGGAACAAGAATGAATAAGGCATGGGTGGGATTTTAATTGTAGCTAACCTGAGTCAAGGTAAAGAAACCTTGCCACCTCAATAGGAGGAAGATCAATTAGACTCAAATTGGTGTGTGCATAGGACATAAAAAACAGCTAGGTGACATCATGAGGGAAATGTCACCAGTTAAGGCATATATTCGAAATTAATGCATTTATACTAATGAAAAGGCCAAGTGGCACGTCGTAGATTAAGATATAGACCCATACACTTATTAAACTATGTCCTTCTACCCGTTCATCCGTGTATTTGTCTCAAGAAAGACAATTAATGTTTATATTAATCGAAAGAAAACTTGCGTAGATATTTTTCGTGAATCCATTGTCTGAATTAGACAGGCATCTCATATAGTGTCCAGATAAAATAACTATTTAAAATGAACTTATTTTTATAGATATTTAAAAGGAAAGTTATTTTATAATAGTAATAGTTAATAATATATGTGTAATACAACATCATACAACATGGTATCACAACGGTTCATTTCTGCTTAAATGAGTTTGGTACACAAATCTGCTATTCTAACTTAATCTAACCTAACATTATCATGTGGCCAAGAAGAAATTGAATTAAAAGGAAAAACATTTTTGACTAAAATTCGCAATATTGTATAAAGTTCTCTCTCTTCAAAAAGCTCTAAAGCTCTTCATCTCTCTCAAAAGCTATTTATAGATTGAGTATATTCAGACACAAAAGCTTTTCCGTTGAAGAAACACAACAACAACAAAAGATCAAAAAAGCCGTATTGGAAAGTTCTTTCTCAAAAGGTGTTCGTAGATTGGGTAGTTTTAGTCACAAGAACTTTAAAGTATTTGCTCAAAAATGTTGTACTTGTTTAGGCATCTAGATAATTTAGTTATCTCCGCCACATCCATATTACATATTATTTCCAATGTCTTGTAATTAATTCTAAATTATCTTTCATAGGTGTCATAAAAGTTCTTGCAAAGAGAATATCTTCGTTTTTAATCAAACTGCGGTAAATTCAATTGATTTATCACCGATTAGTGAAAACTACTTAGCAGTTGGAAGTTCGGATGGTGTTGTACGCCTTTACGATCGACGATTTCTTTCAATAATTGACTTTAAAGAAAATACACCCATTACAAGTGACTATCATACACGGTTCGTTAAGGCTTATCCAATACCATTTAAGACAACACGTCAATTTCGCATAACCTCCGTTAAATTTAGTCAAGACGAAAGTGAATTACTTGCCAGTTACTCTTCCGAATATTTATATTTATTTGATTTGAAAAACAGTGGTGGAAATATACATGAAATCTATACCAAAGGACAGAAAAATTTCGATGAACCCCAATCGAAAAATTCGCAACATGTACAACGAAGACTGCGTTTACGTGGAGATTGGTCTGATACTGGACCGCGTTCGGCACCTGAAAATGAAAATACTGCACGTATAGAGTATGGTCAATCCAGGCCGTTAGTACAAGGTTCTATTATGACACGTATGACTGAAGTGATATCTCGTTTAATGAATGATCGTTTACGCTCTGG